TTGAAAATAACACCGTCGCACATAACAAATGTACAAACTTGCAGCATTAGACATATCAAGTGCATATTTCACTCTATTCCTACTGTTAAGAGAATGTTAGATCCTTGATACCAAAGTTTAATTTCAGCTTGTTCTGAATACCAGAAAATGGGGTGTGCGATAGACTTACCTCCACGTGGTGCACCCTGGGCAACGTATTCTCATACAGCAAAAAGTCTATTAACTGGCAGTTGACTTCTGACTTCTAACTACCATCACCCCACTGTGTCATATTCGACTACTTTCACAGTACTCATCCCACCTTTTTCCACCTTATCTACCTTCGTCTTTGATACACTCTTCTGTCCCCTCCCCCCCCCTCCCCTCTCTACTTTTTTCACTTTGATGTTTCTTCCTCTCTGTGAAGACTGAAGCTAATTAAAGGGCTAATGATAACTATCAAAACGCCTTTCATTTGATAAAAATAAATAAATACTAGAGAACCTGAGGGATTTCTATGCTTCTGATGCGAAGGGCTAACGCATATTCAGATCTGTCATTTCAAAGATAAAACAATATTTTTGACATTCCAAAACGCCCACTAATTGAAGCCTACCTAGAGAACTGTGGTTTTTTTAATAGATTTGTAACTATTTGAAAGCACGGACCTATCTATAAACTGATAATACCTACTGAAGTGATAGATTTGAGGCTTCACAATAAATAGCCCGCGTTCCATCATTCCATGATCATAAGGAAACCATCTTAATTCTTAAAAACTTGCCATTTGCAGCTGAAAAAAGGCACACTCCCGCCCCACTCCACCAACAGTTTTGTGTTTCAAAAGAAATCGAAAACCAATTAGAGATATTGAAACTTTATAGACATTCATGCATGAGTGATAAGTGAATTAAGTAAATAAGTAATGACAGTTATTGACTTGCTTTTGAATTTGTGCACTCAAAACCATAATCATAATGTTACTATCACAGTTAGTTGCAACCGTATTAAGGCATTTTGGTGGAATGTGTAAGCTCTCTTTGAGTGTAAACAATGTGTGCAGTGTCAAATTTAAAATACAACTAATGAGGCTTGGTGCAGATCTTCTCTAAATTGGAAAGACTTCGTGGACGACTTGAGTTTGTGCAAACAGTTCAGTTATCTGACTGAACTATCCTCCGAATAAGCACTAGGCCCCACGGATTTTGACCTTGAACCCGAGACTGTGAAAACTTTTGCAGGTCTAGGAATCCGTGTACCTTCTGCCGGCATTCTTGCTACTGAAGACCGTCGAATTTCAATAGAACCAGGTGGTTTCAATGTTTTTTGTGATCCTCGTTTCATTGCAACAGTATTACATGCAACTTTAGCTGCAGCGGGTGTATCGTCTGTATAGATAATCTTTTTTACCGTGTTAACTGAATTTCGACGTCTCAATGTTGGTCCATTATTAATTTCATTTTCCTGTTTACTCTCAGGATGTTTCATGGAAGCTCGTCGCTTCATGTTGGTAGCAGGCGGATTTACAATTCTTGGGGCTGTTGTATTTCGTTTAGGATTCGCTGACAGGCGCTGGAACACGTCCGTCTTGGAAGTGTTGGCTAACTGTCGAGATCGAGAAACAGTGTTGGAATTCATGGAAATATTAGAAATCGATTTTGCTCTCTGCGTTGTACTTATACTAGTACTACTGATAGGTTGGGAAATGCTTGGTTTACTGAGTCTTCTAGTTGCAGTGGAAGCATTAAGAGATACTGTTGATTGGGAGAACTTTCCTAAACTGGTGGATGTCGAATCTTTCCCAACAGCAGATAAATTGTGTGTTGATGTTGATTTTAATCGAGTAATACTGACCGAAGTAGGTAGTCGACTATATGTGCAACTGGGGTTTGACTTGTAAGGCGAAGGCAAAGGACTGGGCTTAATTTTTGATTTGGTTAGAGGCTTTTCCAAGGAAGAGTCAGTGATATTTAAAGACTTCACTTTCCTATCGAATCCACCAACAACCTAGAAAGAAGCGAAATGTCTAAGTAAAATGAAAAAAGACTGAAGTAAATAAAATATAAAAGATGTTGATGATGGTGGTGGTGATGATGATGATGATGATTTTGTGGCCAGAAACGAATCATACAGAAGGACTGATCTGCAAATTCTATCAACACTTAAACCCCCATGCACTTAGAAAAGATGCAAATTTATGTATTTCTAGGTGTACTTTTGTTGACTGATGGTGATGATAAGATGAGGAACTCGAGTAACTGAAAATGCCAAGTACCCTACGTCGTTTGAAAGGTCGAAAATAGAGTCAGCTTAACTGTTAAGGTGCTAAAGTAAACAGCATATCCTTAATTTAAGTAATAAATCGTTAATTAGAGCGAAGAATAACCCCCAACTTGATTTAACACTGCTCAACATAACCCAACCAATAGTACTCTTAACTGTAATTGACTCATCAAATTAGATAGTACGAGGTAAATGAAGTTAATATTACAAATTTAGATTGTTAATACTAATGAGTAAATCTAGAAAGCTAGTGATACTAACTGACCCAAAGACAACTCAACGCATGCCATTTTTAGCATTAAAACAAGCATAGACGCACCTGATCAATAACTGGGACCGTTTGAACTCGCTCAGTAGTGGGTGATTTAAGTTGTGGAATGCCCTCTTTTGCAACTTCCGTTTGAGCAAATATTGACTCGTTTTCGTTCACTTCGATTTGAATCAAGTTATCGATGGGATCCACCGGAGAGATGGATGAAATCACGGGTTCACCGTACTTCTCATCCAACTAAAAATAAGATATGCGATTATGGTCAGTGAAACCACACTAAGAAACGGCTTTTTTCAATAGACCGGAAAATACTCATCAGTGGAATATGCTGGAAGAAAGAATAAAACTCCTTTCCCGATAAAGTAGCATTTTATTTTTGCCTAGTTCACAATAAATGGAAACAACTTGCCGGCTATTTTAACTTGGCAAAAAGGCCAGAAGGAAACAGAGAAAATTAGGGAAATATAAAAAATGTGAAGCAGTATTTATAAAGGCACAACTGTTAACTTGCATTGTGCACCTTAGATAGTTGTACGGGCGATATACTATTTGTGCAAATGAAGACTAAAATTAAATTGTGCCCAGAGTGTTTGGCAAACGTATGAAAGTGTCAAAAATCAGCCGCTTTTAATCAGTGATCGTTCCACTATCAGGATTGACACTGATACTACTCTACAGAGGCATGTTAAAGTACATTTTAAACCTAATAAATGGGGTTAAATTACCATGCACTAGGCTACTTTTACAGAAGGCAATGCAATTAGTTTTTCTTTTGAATGGGAAGGTGTCGAGTATTAAGAAGAGCCTGGAGCCAAAATACCGCAGTGAAAAGTACTTCAACGAACTAAGACATCTGTTTTTAGGATCAGAAAACATTGTTGCTCGTCGTCAACCCTCCATTTTCTAAGCCAAAGAGCCTTATCAACAGCGTAAGTAGGAATTAAGAAAAGCAGCCCTTTTCCTTTCCTGGATAATCTAACAATTCAACCAGGAATGCACTTGGTTTAAAGTATGAATAAATCTGCACTTGATTACTCATTTTGTTGCTACGTTCCGAGCGCCCACCACCCCTTTTAATATCTCGTCTGATGACTCAGACACACCAAAAGGTAATTAAGTTATCTCTGACCTACCCCGTTTAAGGTTCAATTTACCGATACCCATAAATTCAATGCAATAATTACTTGTTTTATAACCGGTGTAGGGGCGAGTTCCTCGACGCTAGAACTCGGAGTTAGTTGATTCTCCTCTTTCACTTCTTTGGCGTCTATAATAAGGTCTTCAGGTTTGGGGCAATGATGATTGCACTTGGAAGATTGGTGAATAACTTCGGTTGTGGTATAGATCACCTCTCGACCCTTCTTCATAACCTTGAGATTACCTTCGCCTACAACTGAGACTGAATCGCCATTTCTAGCTCCAGACTGACGATATCCAGTCGAAACAGCATTTACGAGATCTGATGTATTTGACGCGTCCACCATGCCATCCTCCGCAGAGTGTGAATGACTCTTTTTGAAGTGAGATCGTTTATCGGCTGATGTAGGACTATCTGCAAAATTCAGAAGCGTTAAACCTAACAACTGATCCATTTACACCGGGGCGTTAGCTGCTTTATGAATGTCTCGTTGGGTTTATTGTTTGGGTTTGACTTAGCAAATGAATTATCTAGAATGCGTGCAAAATAAATATGCACAGAAGGCATTCCATTTGGGTCAGCTTCTGCTCTTTCAATATATTATGCAGCTTATGCGAATTTGCGTAGCACGGAAGTCGGCATTTTCATACTAATCACTTGCCTACGAGGAATAATTACCCCTGCAGAAAATGATTCATACTCCGAATGCACAATTTTTTACACAATTCCATTTGCACGCACGTCTACAACAAAAGCCAGACAGCACATTTTTCTGTCGGTTCTGGAATACATTGCCTATATAAACTCTATCGCTACTCGAACAACAGCAGACATCGACACACCCACACACGCACATTAAGAGCAGGATATTGAGGATAAGAAATGAAACTGCAATCCGGGGCACGATTAACGAATCATGCAACGGGAAGCAATGAGCTGCTCTTTCTATAAATATTCCACATTCCGAGCTTTAAAATGATGAATAAAATAATTGCGATTGGCGGTGCCTTCCATCACCCTACCCTTTTACCTCTTTTGATTGAAATTCAATTTCCTTTCTTACCATGAAAGCGACAAGTAACATGGAAGCAGAAGCCTGCTCAAAGCTAGATGTCCAACAACTGTGTCAATGCACTAGACACTGCCTCTTTATAGTAAACGCGCAGATATAAACGCAATTTCAATGACCGTAAATTTGAAAAAAAATTCCGTTAATATTAAACCATTCCGAAAAGCACCATTAAAAAAGCGTAGTTATCTGCCATTCTATATGGATGTGGCATAACATTTTTCGCCTTTTAATTTTTACTGCGATTTGCCCAATTTTGCATGAAAAGTAATGTCAACAAGTATGAAAAATGACAAACCATCCATTCAAGAACCTTATTAAATACCACAGCAATATCCCAGGCCAAAATGACTTAAGAGCAGCTATTCACCGGTTTTTCGTAAGAAATCTCCCAATTGGATACAACCCTAATCATTTTTTTAATTAAAATTAGCAAACTCAATGCACTCTAGACTCCTTGGGCAAATCTACAATCTGCACATTTGCGCTAAAAGATTTCCATGAATTGTGTGGGCCTAAAAAGCTGCTGTAGCGTCTTGTTGATCGAGAAAACCACATTTGCCAATTTCATGATCTCATAAGACTTTTTTGACTTCATTTCCATAAATTATTCCCTCTCCCCCACCATCTTCCCCCACCCCAGTCCCAAAGGCAAATTATGCAGAGATAGTCGTGCACAATGACGATCCATCCGATATGATCTCCTGCTTTCTACTCTGTTCAAATTTTTAAGAAAGAGAACGAAGTTTGTACGCTAAATGCGTCGACTATGCGATTGACCTCAGGGCGTTAAGACCGTGGCCACACAGCGAAAGGACATATCAATAAAAGAACTTTAATAACGCAGTTTTGTCCACTGGTCATTCTCCAGTGGACTTCAACTTAAATGCGCCACTACAATTCACCCTTTTAAGTAAGAACCGCAATATTTAAACCCGACTCCAACTATTAGAGACTTAAATAATACTAAATAGGCTTTGAATTTCCAAACACCAATAAAAACTAGAATGGCTAAACTTGTGAAAATGAAACCCTAATTTAACCCTAATTTATAACAATTGCCAGTATAGAAATCGAACTCATAAATGTAGTCTGCATTAGGTGACAGAAAATAAGAAATTAAATTTGAGCTGCTGAGCAAAAATCGTATGTTCTCAGGCCAGGTCTAGCGCGTGACTCCCAACTCCACTTGCTAATTGTGATCGACAAGAGGCCTAAGATCAGCAACTCGTGTTGTCTTGGCTGAAATCACGTCAAGTGCTGTGAGTATTTTCCGTGACATGTTAAGATGCGTGTTTTAAACATTGGAGGAGACCAAAAAGAAGAATTCGAAGAAACAAATGGAATCTCGGCTTATTATGGGAAATGTTAATTTCGCCGCGGAAAGGAATGGCGACACCTCAGATTTAAACAATTTCCAAAACAAAGCTTTCTTCACATTTCGAACAAACGATGAATTTGTATTGGGGTTTGAGTTAGAAAAATACAACTAAGTGTACATCTGTCTTCATAAAATGCGCCATTTAAGTGTTACTGAAACAATGTTTTATCAAATTAAGCTCCTCATAAATGCCGCGTCAGATAGTCTAGGGAAGATGCGTCAATGGCGAGTATATTTCATAGAGTTCAACCCTCCAAATTTCACCATTGCTTCATTAAATGCGCTATCTTCATTCAACACCTACTCAATTGATCACTTTGATCGATTAGGTTAAATAAATGAATAAGAAAATGCCCTTCATCTTCCTAAAGTTAAGATGAGCACAAAAGAAAATTTAAGATCAAACTCAACATTCCCCAAACTGGGGTGTGTGATAGACTTACCTGGGCAACGTATGCTCATACGGCAAAAAAGTCTATTAACTGGCAGTTAACTTCTCACTTCACTGCATGTCATATTCGACCCCTTCCACAGTACTCACCACACATTTTCTCTACCTTTGTGTCTGTCTCTTTTACATCTGCGAATCACTCTTTTACTCCCACCCCCTCGACTTTTTTTTCACTTTGATGTTCCTTCCCTCTGTGAAGCCTGAAGTCAACAAAAGGGCTGATGATAACCATCAAGACGCCTGCCATTTGATATAAACATTCCCCAAACTACGTCATGCCACATCTCTCAAACAAAGTATTCGATTGTAAAATTGAGCAAACTTTGCAAATACTGAGAAGGACAAGGATAATGTAACTTACGGGGTTGTTGGACTTTGCGACATTCGTCGTATTTTTGAAGGAAGTGATCCAACGTATCCCACCCACCGCCGACCCGTACCATCACGTGGCTTCGAAGAATCTACAAAGGCAAACAGTAAAAGCCTGCTAGGGTGACGACATTACCAATTATAACAAAAAAAGCAATTATGTGTTTAAAAATCGCCCTCCCCTCCCAATGAGAAAGAGAACAGTGTTCTTTGTGAGGTAAACGGAAGTCAGTTATGATCCTATTTAAAAATTATCTAGATTTAATCTGATTATTGTCCTTTATCAGACAGTACTAAATGCATCAATGAGCGATCCGTGATAAGTCAAATGAATTCAAACAATTTAATCACCAATAGGGAGTCAGGATGGGAATAAACAAAGCAGTTAGTGGGACTACTCTACTCTAAAGAGTAATTAAGATCTGCTCGGGACCTATTGAAACTATTCCGCAATACTGTTGATAAAGTTAAGGTTTCACTGGAGTAACATGTGAGGGTTTAAACCTATAACCATGACCGCCACAAAGCCATGATATGTGGAAAGCTCGTTAAGAGAATTCCACCTAGACACTAAATGATCAACTTTCGATAGAAAGATGATCTTTTGGGTTGTCAAGAAATATCTATCTATCTAACAGTGAAAACTTCTTTGAATCAGAAGATATAAATAGGAACTATGTTTTGACATAGTTGTGAAGATGATAACGAAGTCTCTGGGGTGGATGATTTATCGCGACCTAAAAAACAAATGTAGATTCGATTTTTTAGCTTTAAAAATTAATTTCAGAGTTTTGCACGGTAAAGTACGGCTTACTCGTAGAAACTAAAACTTCTACTTCATTATCAGACTAAAAATGCTACAAACAATTTATTTCAGGAACTATCAACTGTCAGAATGGCGTCTTCATTTTAAGAGTGATAAAACCATTAATAATTAGTCGTCGAGACACTAATGAGGAAGGCGTATTCAATTCTGAAAGCACCGAAAACGTCAGTAAAATGTAAACACACGCTAAATAATTTCAGCCCATTAACGTAATTGAAAAAAACAACATACACACAATTTTCCCCCAAATTGAAGAAACAATGTGTTATGCACCCATATATTATAAGCTGATATTACACTGGAGGGAGTTAGCAAAATCCCATTGGACCCAAATGGAAAACAATTGAGACATTAATTCTGTGTGCTCTGGAATCCCTGATAAAGATGATACCAAAAAAAGCGTTTTGGTCGTCCATATGAGCCAGTAAATGCAAACATTATTCCATGTATATGATTTCAATTTTATATTGGTGATTTATAGATCATTTTTCAACAAAATCGAGGCAAACAATGATGAATTTTTAGTAAAAAAGCGAAGTTATCTGGATGCAGATTGACTTTGGAGGGAGGAAATTCGTGACACCTCTATTATAAGTCCCATTCTCAGATAACCAAACATTAGTATTTTCTGTTTGTTTAAACGGCAACTGCGATTATTAAAATGGGCGTTAACAATAAAGATGTTTTTGAAGGAGGTACAATAGTCTCGGAGAGTATTGTGCAGCCCATTCATTATTCAAGAACGTGTTCACCGCCTGCGAAGGCCAAAAGGAGTTGAAAGAGAAGTCCAAGGGATAGATAATCATCGCTTAACTTTATTTTTCCTCTTTATATCCAAGGCAAGTATTAAGAAAACAAATGATATGAAGAATCTGAAGTGAATACTACAAAGAAAATAGTTTAGAGCCTCTTGTCATTATGACTGCAAGATAACCTGAAGTTTTATCGCGTGAGTACTGATCTGAAATTAAACTGAATGCCTGACAATATACCACACTTTTCTGCATTCTTTCACGATAATAAGGAGAGCACTTAACCCACAATCATGTAGCTCAACTGAAGAATAAACGCGTTTTTAGGTGACGTGGTAAACTGCATACAGTTAAGATGCTGTAAAAATGATTTTAGCGGCCAGTTTGAGACATAAACAATAGAGCTAAAAAAATGTGATAGGCAAAACAATGTGTCTCTGTAAACTACCTTCTAGACAATCAAACAGAAGAGAATTTATTTTCGGATTCATTTTTTGAAAAGGCATAACACTTGGAAAAGCGACACTGGCAATTTTTCATTCAACAATCTTAAAGATTAGGCTCAAACCATTGGTTGGCACCCTCAATGTTTCAATTCGAGACCTCAAACATAGTAGAGATGGCAATCACAGTTCGAGTTCAATGGAATTCCTTCCAATTCAAGTTATAAATCTCTAAATTCCACTCTCCTGTCCCAATAGTAATAATTATAATAAGGATTCCCGTATATGCGGATGGAAATCGAGAACTCGAGGGGGATTCGAGTGAAAACAAGGAAATGGAAAGCAAACTTTTCCTGTTCATGCATGCTGTTCTGCATGACTATGGACTTCGCTAAGGTTCTCAAGTGCCCGATTTCCAGAGGTTTAAAGTGATAAAAAAGTACAGTACAGTGTTATCCATAATGTCCATGTTAAAAGAGATTCGGCCACATTTACATGACCCTTTGGGAATGCAGCACAATAACAGTGCATATTATTTTGAAGTGAGTAAATAAGAAGTACGAATTCCGTAACCTACAGGCAAACCTTCCTACTCTTTCCGAAATTGCAAACTAAGTCTAATGAAACCCCTTGTCAGAATAGCACAAAATGAAGAAAATATCATTGACAACTTAACACCTTTCGAAAATAATCCCATCTCTACTACGGATTGCATTTAATTAATTGTCAAAATGCGGGGTGCTCAACCCTTGCTGGTTTTCTAAACAATTATTCTTAAGAATACGATAGACTTACCTCCACGTGGTGCACCCTGGACAACGTACGATAGACTTACCTCCACGTGGTGCATCCTGGGCAATGTATACTCATACGGCAAAAAAGTCTATTAAATGGCTTGGAAACGTGACCTCATACGGCAAAAAGTCTATAAACCGCTGGGCAACGTATACTCATACGGCAAAAAAGTCTATTAACTAGTGAGATGGGTGTGCGATAGACTTACCTCCACGTGGTGCACTATGGGCAACGTATACTCATACGGCAAAAAAGTCTATTAACCTGGGGCAACGTATACTCATACGGCAAAAAAGTCTATTATTCGACAGTTGACTTCTCACTTCAAACCACCATGATCGTACT